TCTCTGTCCCTATGCAGCTGCAGGGAAAAGGCAGGTGTTTGCTGAAACAGCTGAAATTGCTCAACAGCAGGAATGAAGAACAGGTCTTCCTGGATGTCCCTCATGTCAACAGCTGAAGGCTCTTTCAGAACAGTTTTACTGATAAGAGGAGGGAAAGCCATCTCTTTCCCCAGGCAGAAAGTAAAAAAGTGCAGATACACATTTCCAAATTTTGCAGCCTGGTCTCTTTTCTGTTTATTACTCTGTATCCCTACAACAAGGCTTGCCAGGGCAGCTCTGCAGAATTAAATGCAAGGCACGTACCCTCACTGCCCTCCCATTCTGCATCAGTAAGGCATCTAAAAAAAAAAAAAAAACCACCACCACCAAATAAGCCTTGAACTACCATCCGGATTCACAGACCTTTTCCAACACACCATGCTAGCAACGTGCTAGAACACAAGGCGGATATAAGCTCTTCTCCCACTCTGTAACGTTAGGTGGGAACAGAAACTGCTAGATGGCCTGAGACTCTTCCAGCTTCATGTACCAAGGCAGTACAATGTAAGAGGCAGAAAGGCTGCAGAGGCTGGCAAGCCATCACCACAGGAAATCATAAAATAAATCAGGAAGGTAGCAAGTGAAATTCATACCTTAACAGTTGGCCCACCAGAAGAGATTGCAGTTCAGATAAAATTATTGGCACCTCATGCTGCTACATTGTGACTATAGATAGGAGTTACAATGATGTTAGCTTGGCCAAATCTCCATCTGCAGCAAAAAAAATACTCCAGCACTGCCCTAACCTTTCAATTTTTCATTCAGATTGCTGATCATCTTCATTCTGGACCCAACTAATCTCTGTTGGGATGCAAACAGAAATGTGGTAGAGACCTTGGGTTGTCCTGAGGCCTCCAGGTATCTCAGCAGGACTGCAGTGTTAAAAAAGAGTTTATTCAACAAGTTGGGAGGAAAGATTAAAAATGAAAAACAAATGTAGAGTAATGATGAATGAAAGCTCTTCAAAATCTTTAAAAACTCATTTGAATCTGAGCTGACCTGACATTGGTAGTATTTTAGCCTTCTCTGCTGCTTGTACTCTGGAGATGCACACCGCAGTTTAGTGGGCTAAGCATGTGGCTTTGAGTTTTTAAAGAGGGGTCTGAATTTGGGTGAACGTCTGAAGTGTTGCTACTTTTCCAGTCCAACTAGAAGCTCCTAACTGGTGCTGATCTGTTATTCATACTGCAAAATCCTTGGTTTTGAGATCACACCTTGGAAAACATGCATCTGTAGCATATTAGACTTGCAACATTTTCAAGGAGGTAAGAGTTATTACTGAAAATACTATGATGAATGGCAGTGCAATGCCTCTATTGCATGCTGTGTTGCAGCCGTAAGCATGATCAATGCTATTTATTAATAACACAGTAGTTCCTAGCTTGCATTTTCCTTTACACTTTTGCTTGTGCGTTACTAGGCTCAGCCTTCAGCCATCTGTTGGTCAGGTGCTTGGTGGGTACAAATCTGTGACAGAGCTGATAAATGCTGCAGCAGGAGAGAAGGCTTTTTTTTAACCTGGCAAGTGTATGAAGATACTCAGTGTAATACCATGTTTGTGATTCCTTGCAACAGAGCGTGGATGATAAGTTTTTAGAACCTGTTTTCTTTCAGGTAGCATCTTTTACCTTTAGGTGATGTTTCCAGCTGTTCACAACTGCCTGCAGTTTCTGTTCCAAAGCTCCCTTTTTTTGTCCAGTGGAGCCATGGTGTTTTAATTCAGAGCACTTGAAATACAGTGCCAAATACCATCCTGATTTCTGTGTTTGAAATAAATTGGGTTACAGCGCAAAATTTCGAAAGGGAATTAGGTCTGTTAACTCACCTATTTCTAGTTCAAACTCCCCACTTGAAAGCTGGATGACCTGAACAACTGACCTTAACCTTCACATCAGTAGCAGCTGTCCTTGATTCAAATGTTTTCAGAAGTTTAAAAAAGAAGATTGAGATTTTCAAAAGTGACTGGTCTTTTTTTGGTGCCTCCATTGTTGTCACTGTTAAACTGGCATAATAAGCTAAAGAATAAAAAAGGACTTACTGCTTTTAAGAATTCTTTTTTAAGTTTTATTTTTTTATTACAGGACTTTTTTTTGTGCTGGGATATATAGAATAAAACAGTATTTATACATTCAGGACATTAAGGATGGAGGCAGGAATACAGACTGCTCTCTGGATCTTTCCGACTTGTCTGGACCAGAGAAACCAGGAAGATCTTGCAAGAAGCTGCCCAACAAAATTGCCTTCCTAACGGTCCTTAATAAATCAAAGCAAGTTTTAAATTTATGTCCAACTGCACTTCTTTGACTTGGAACCAGCTGCTTCTGGAATTTCTTCATCATTAGTTAGAAAGGAATGAGCAAATTATGCTTGGGACTATGGAAGGACAATAGCCTTCTGAGTCAAAGGTTTACATTAGATAATTTAAGTAGCTTCAGGGTTTAAAGTCATTTCTCCAGCAGATGTCTCATCTTATGTTTTAATGTAAAGACAAAAATTTTATGAGGAAGTATGTCACAGCTCAAAATGACTGCAAATGGAAGTAATTAAAAAGGAGATAGTTGAGCTGGAATGTCATTCAGCGTTTTAAAGAAAAAACTCTGCTCTCCTCAGTTGAGCACTTCTGCAATGTATTTATATCACACTCAGTGCCTTGAAGTTTCAAATAGGCCAGGTGCTGAAAAGGCACATTTGCTGCTACATTTATACCAATGCTAGTGGGCAGGCTTTGAAGACTAGTAGGCCTCACTAATTCAGGCTTCTACATCAAGCAGTAAAGTTGACAGGAGGATTTCTGCTGATTCTGAGAACTGAATCAAGTTCTGGACACTGGGTGTTTGGTAAGGCACAAGACACTGAGTGACACCAATTTTAAAGCAAAGCCTCCTTGTGCTATCATCTGTTGTTCATGGTGTGGGCTCCGGAAAGAGCACTTTGTAGTACTGAAGAAAAGTCAGGTCTGCTTTGCATCATTTACATTAACAGCTCTCCTTTTTGTTTTTCCCCTGTCCCTCAGGGTACTCAGGAACTGGTTAAACAGGTGAAGAATTTGCCCCAGGCCAACTACAACCTCCTCAAATACATATGCAAGTAAGTGAAATTAATTAACACTTGGAAAAGTCACTAAGTTTTCTGAGACTTATATGCAAATATAATTCTGAAAGTATGAATATTCAATCACTTACATGTAAGTTATTGCTCCTATAAAATCGTGGAGGTGAACACGCAGCCTGCCTAAAGGAAGCTCTTGGTTTATCCAAGACCATCAACCAAGCAAATTGCTGTCATCCACAGCCTCAGCAGCAGGCGTGAATGATACTAGCCTATTATATTGTTTATTTCAGAAGCACTTAAAGACCAGTAAAGAAAGGGATTTTTTTCCAGGTACTGCACACTTGGAAGAGCCAGTCTGAGCCAGTCTGGCCTCAGCTCTGGTTTGGAAGTGCAGTTGGGAGTGGATCCTTCTTGGAGTACCAGGAGCTCCACAGACTTGTCTCCCCTCATCTCTTGGCTGACTGTTCCAATTTTTGCAAGGGAGCTGGAATGGACTGTTATTCTAGATACAATGTGGTGAACATTGTGTTGTATTCTAGTGTCTGTGATAGTTAGCCCCTTTATGACAAGTGGGATTTGCACATCTGAAGCAAACAGTAGACACAAACACTGACGCGTAGCCCATGTCATATTCAAGAGATGTCAAGCTCTTCCCAAGTGTACAGACAAATAGTGTTTCTGAAATGTATTTGTTAAATGTTTTAAAAAAATTATTTTGCCTCGCTGTGTGCTTCTATAGCCATTTGTTTTAATATCTGAGCACCTCAAAATATGAAAGGCTGAGGCAGGGGAATACATGTTTCTAAAGAACTGAGGAAAGGGAAATAAGTTTGTTTCTGACTTAGTGAAGAAAACTGAGGATTCTTGAGTCTCAGCACAGTGTCTGCCACAGGGCAAAGCCACGAAAGAAACGGGAGTGTCTAGAAAAGTCATGTTGCCAAGTAGAAGCATTCAAAAATTTGCCAAGTAATGCAGAAAGACAAGGGAACTTTTCCCCTGCCAAAACCCATCCAGTCATCCAAAAATTAACAATAGTTTAGGAAATGAAGTACAGAGAGAGTGAGACTGTTCACTTTTGAGGCTACTGAGGCATATTTCCAGCTATTGCAGGTTTGCATGTCACATAGTCCTTTTTACAACTTGGCTAATTATGTACAACCTATTTAGGTGTTTGTTATAGCCTGTGTTTGTTACAGCCTTTCTCTTGCTACAACTCCTATTGGGAGGCTATTCCAAATTACAAAAACATCAACTGTTAGAAATTCACTGCTGATTTCCAGCTTGTACATATGGATAGCCCGTCTGTCTGGATTTCTTCATGTGCTGTTTCTAGCTTGCATAGTCTTTTTCTGGTGTTGATGTTTGCCCAACTGATGCATTCATAAGAAGCATTTGGGCTACCTCTTTATCTGTATTTTGTTAGATTCAAGCCACAAAGCTCTTTCCACAGGCTGCTATTTCTAGGATGAGGAGATGAGTGAAATTTATTCTTACTTCTGTTATATCTGTAAGTGAAAACTGCAGAAGTCAACCTGTGTAATTGAAGAATTCCTATAAAAATGTGAAAATCTGTCCTTTCACATCCAGTAAAAGGTTGGATCCTTGGTAAGCTGGTACTTTTGTCAGAAGCCACCCTGTCCTGTCTTGTTCAGACAATAGGAGGGATTATTACTGAATATCTAAGCTGGGTCCCTAGAAGCATTTCAGATATCAGGGTTGTATAAACACAGGACAAAACTGTTCCTGCCCCAGAATGCCTACAGTCTGAGAAGTGACTGACCTATTTCCTCTCCTCCTTTGATTTTTCTGGGGGGGCTTTTCAAGGTTCCTTGATGAAGTTCAGGCTCACTCCAGCATTAACAAGATGAGTGTCCAGAACTTGGCTACAGTATTTGGACCAAATATACTGCGGCCCAAAATGGAAGATCCAGTGACTATGATGGAAGGTAGGTAGTACTCTTGTGAGATTACACACCTGTATTTTGGAGCTGCAAGAGTATGCTGAAAATCATACATTCACTGCTAGCTGTATCACTTGGCTGGACAGTCAGCAACAAGTCAAGCAATCCCTTGCCTGTGAGGGGATGTACCAGTTGGCCTCTGTTATCCCACTCACTACTCACCTGGGAGTGTCTCTTTTCTCCACCACATGGAGATGCTTCTTCCCTATTACAAGTTGTTATGTGAAACTCTCTGAACCTACTGCTAAAATGAAAGCTCACATGTTCCTCAGAGGGACTATGTTTAAGTATCAAACTGCTATCATTTAGTATTGGTGCTTTTTGGTGGTTAGATGGCTCCCTGTAAATGGCATCCAGACCCCACAGTGAAAGAGGTATGGTGGTTTTTGCTGTACCACAGTAGCTATAACTAGGTGTTTTAGAAGTGTTGTCTTCTAAGTAGGCCTTGTATGTGTCAGAACTTCACAGAACCTAAGGAATAAGTTGAAAATTACTGTTAATTTTGGATGTAAAAATCTGAAGCTTGAAAATTATCTCCCTCCATATGGGTCAGGAAGTGCACAGGGCATGATCTCTGGCTGGCTGACACCAGGGCTGGAACACAGCCCCTCTCACACGTGGCACTGGAGCACTACTGTGGTGCAAGCCTTAGTAGGGTCTTTGCATTAAGTTTTGTGGGATCTTGGCAAGTCTGCAAAAAGAATTGATAGATTCATCCAGCATTAGGCACATATGGAGATGCCGTGCCCAAGATGCCTGAACTCCGCCCTGGCACTGCTCCCTGGCTGTAGGGGGCAGGTGATGTGTGGTGCTCTAGGTGATGGAAATCTTTCACAGAATGCCAGCATTACTACACCTTAGCAACAGCACTGCCTTTAGCTCTGCACAAGTGACCTCTGAAAGGCACTGCAGATGAGTGCCCTACAGATGGCAATAACAACAACATAATAATAGATTGCTATAAGATAACAGGCCAACTTCAGAGCATGGCCTGACATACTATAGTTGTTCAGGGACTCAAAGCATGCCACAGAGATGTGTGCCATATTATTAAGGGTAGATTTGAGACCTTCCTATCAAAGCGGGGAAGGCAGAAAAATGTGGGCAGGAGAAAAAGGGAGGGCAGGAGCAGATGCTGGGTTATTCAGTATTGCAAAGGCGTGGAGGTAGCTGAAACCTCAGTCTGTTGTGTGATGCTGTGACTTCCCCTAGTGGCCAGCTGGCCAGCGTTGGCAGGACTTAAAGCCTTGGCCAACAACACACTTTTTTGTTCAGTTGGTACAGGTGACAAGTTTGGGTTCAGTTCACCTCAGGCCTTTCATTATGCATTCCAGCTGATGGCAGAAGTGCCTGTACTGTGTGTAGGTGCAGAGCTACAGATGTTGTGGTCTCATGCGCTCTCCTATCATCATGTGAAAACACTACAGTGACCTGACCTAGAATTCTGTATTACCACAGACCTGGACTGTAGAAAAAAGGGGATCCAGTGACTGGATTTTTAGACTTAGTAATTTTACTCATAAGCAACAGCAATGGAAAAGTTTTGGTTTATTGTTAGTTGAGCATAGAAGACTGGTTCAATAGAAATAACAGAAGAATGGAAGACTCAATAAATTTTTTTTTAGCTTCAGGGCAAGATGGATCTGCTAGATCAACTGATATAGAATAACACTGCTGCCAGTGCTTAACAAAAAGCACTCTGTGTCTCTCTTCCAATTTAAACCATGAATTTCAAATAGAAATATCAGAAGTTTGTCAGCTGAATTGTTAGGAGTGCCCTTATCTCCACAGAGGTTTATTTCTCTCCCTGCATTCACAAACATAAAGTAGAAAATGTAGGTGAGCTCAGTACCTCTTGCTGAGACCATAATCTCATTAATAATTTAATAAATTCAGGCTCTTCTCTTGAACCCCTCAGTATGTTAATCTTTTTTTCATACAATACTTAAAGGTAGAATTATGTATTTTTAAGGTTTTCCTCTTTTGTAGAAAGTGCTTTATACTAGGTTTGGTTAAGTGATGTTCTCTATTACTTCATAATAGTCTGTTCCACTACTGGAAAACAACGACAATGCAATTTTGTGGATTTAAATAATTGCAAGTACTTTTTGTACTTGCTGTATGTTTTCTGCAGTCATACTTCGTGCATTTCTTTATACACTGAATGCAACAGAAGGCCTGAGCTGAAATTTCTGCTTCTTCAATAAACACTATCTCTGGGCCTGTTAGACTATGAAACTGGTGCAATGCAGTTGTGGAAACCTTCTGGTTCTGAAGCTGGACAGAGAGGTGCTCCATCCCAGCAAATAGGTTAGTGTGTTCAGGATCCAACAGGCATTTCTGCACAGGGGTCTGCTGTCCTGCATGGATGCAAACACTGAGATTGATGCTGGCTCTGAACCACATGCCTTGGTGTGGTACAGACATGGCCCATTTTCCAGGTGTTCTCCTCTGCTGTCATCCTCAAAGGTGTCCTTTAGCAGACCAATTTATTAATCATTGCTAGTGATGACACCTGCATCCCTCACGGTCCCCATTTCCAGTGAACGGAATGATTCCTGTCCCTTGTAGTCCTGTACAGAAAGGCACAGAGCAGTTGCTTGGGCAGGCTCATTGTGGCGCATGGTGGCCACAGGCCTGTCTCACAAGGAGCTAGCTCACACGGCATCTCCATCTCACAGACAGGGGGTGAGTGTTTGAGGTCTTCATGTTTCAACAACTGCTTGCCTTTGTCTTCTCCCCACAGGCACCTCACTAGTTCAGCACCTGATGACAGTGCTGATAAGTGAACAGGGGCGAATATTTGCTGTTCCTCAGGCAGATGTGCCAGGGAGCCAGCTGGAAATCAGACCTGTGCGTCAGCGCAGTACTGTGGAGTGGATCTCTGAGGAGGACGGGGAGGACAGCAGGTCGGAGAACAGTGTTCCCAGCCCCGCTGATTTGCCTTCTAGCAATGCCGTGGCACCAGAGGCCGCTCCTGGACCTGCAGTGAAAAACACTCCAGAGCACAGTTGCAAATTGACTCAATCTGCCACCAGCCCCAGTAAAAGAGTGCAGACACTGCCTCCGTGGAAATACTCCTTCCGCCAGCAGGGAGCACGGTCTGTGAGTCCAAAACTGGGCAGCTCGTCCTTAGATATCCCCAACCTCTCCTCCAGTGGGAACTGGTTGATGAATGGACTGTACTCCCTCCGAGGCCATCGCCGCACAGCCTCTGGGGAACGAGTTAAAGACTCGTGTTCTTCCCAGAGACTCTCTACTTACGACAACGTCCCTTCGCCCAGCCTTTCCCTTAGCACACACAGTATGGCCAGCACCACATGGTCTACATCATCATGTGAAATCTCTGTGATGGACTCAGTCAGCAGCTGCCCAGCCTGCCGGGCCAGTGACTCTTCTGCTTTAAGCTCTCTCAAATCTGAGTGGATAACTCAGGGCTCACCATCTCAGAGTGAGGTCAAGACTGTAGATCTGGAGAACAGCATCGACAGGCTTGAAGCATGCAGCAGCAGCAGCCTACAGAGCAACCCGGCTGCAGCTTCCAGAGACTCTGTCAAATGCTCTAGGGCCCTACAGAGCTTGGTGGTGGAGCTAAAGACAGAACTGAGCAAACAGAGGACTGAGTATGAGACTAGTATCAAAAGGTAATGTTATCTGCAGGGGGGACAAGGAAATCATCTGTCAGCATTACCTCAGCTTGAACATGGGTGGTGTGGGCTACCAAGTGTATCAGGTTCTCAGACCTGGAGTTTGGGTTTGGGAGACAGCAGATCTGGTTCTGCTCTTTCCACACTACTCTCTACATCCAAGTTTTATCCTTCTGATCAAAATAATGGGATTTCCTTCACACAGCAAATTCCAGTATTTCACATTCTATGTTTTCACTGGAAATTAGAACTGCACATGTAATGCCAAAGTCTGCTCTTTGTCAGCGTCCTGTGAGAAATAGCAAAGCAAGTATCTTGGAGGGGAAGGATTCAGACTCAGGGTGGTCAGGCCTCAACACAGAACTCTTGTTGGTCTGTGCAGGTGCCAAGATTTATACCAGATCAGTCTGAAATGGAGTGATTCTTGCTGCTTTTCCCAAAAGAAGCATTCAAGTAACTAGTCTTGACTTCTCCAGGTTGTTCTTTTTTTTGGAAGTGGTCGGACTGCATCTCACCCACAACTTTTTCAGCAGCCCTTTTGTGTAGAACTTTTTGAAACCTCACTTTTGATTTTTGATATAGTTCTAATAGTTCTTTGCTCATATGGCCAGCCACTGACTCAAAGTAGCAGCAGGGTGCTGCTTGTACAGCAGATAAATGAACTGTGTAGTTAATTTGCCCACTCATGTTTACTTGCATAACTGCAACTGCTGTAAGACCTGTGCTCAGAAAAACTCCTTCCAATTTTCAGGAGAGATGCATGTGAGGGCAGGGGCTGTAGGAAGCAGAAAGTTAATAACTAGGAAGTAGTATTTATTCATTTGTGAGAGTTAGTATATTAAGTTTTATGAGTGTGATTATCAGAATGACTTTCAGGCAAGTACTCAGCAATATGCACATGAAATATTGATGCTTAAAGGAATTAGATATGTTTTAATATACAGACATATGCAAAATTGGACACCATGTTATAATACAGAAGAATCATCATTGGCCTGGGCTCTGTAGCACTAGTATTTCACACTGAAGAAGGGCTGTAGTCCATTTCTTACAAATAGTTGAGTTCTCAGCTCTTTTTGTGTGTTAAGGTGTTAATGTTTTACTCCTTCAATTATTAAAACTCTGGTAGCATTTACACACCTCGTTTCCAATCAGTCTCCCAAACATGGTACCAAAAGCACATTTGACTGTAGGTATTGTATAGCACAGCTTTAGGCTGCATTTGTTGCCTCTTTTTTCTTGTTAATGTGTCAGAAATTTATCTGAACTGCAATCTCTTCTGGTGGGCCAACTGTTAAGGTATGAATTTCACTTGCTACCTTCCTGATTTATTTTATGATTTCCTGTGGTGATGGCTTGCCAGCCTCTGCAGCCTTTCTGCCTCTTACATTGTACTGCCTTGGTACATGAAGCTGGAAGAGTCTCAGGCCATCTAGCAGTTTCTGTTCCCACCTAACGTTACAGAGTGGGAGAAGAGCTTATATCCGCCTTGTGTTCTAGCACGTTGCTAGCATGGTGTGTTGGAAAAGGTCTGTGAATCAGGATGGTAGTTCAAGGCTTATTTGGTGGTGGTGGTTTTTTTTTTTTTTTTAGATGCCTTACTGATGCAGAATGGGAGGGCAGTGAGGGTACGTGCCTTGCATTTAATTCTGCAGAGCTGCCCTGGCAAGCCTTGTTGTAGGGATACAGAGTAATAAACAGAAAAGAGACCAGGCTGCAAAATTTGGAAATGTGTATCTGCACTTTTTTACTTTCTGCCTGGGGAAAGAGATGGCTTTCCCTCCTCTTATCAGTAAAACTGTTCTGAAAGAGCCTTCAGCTGTTGACATGAGGGACATCCAGGAAGACCTGTTCTTCATTCCTGCTGTTGAGCAATTTCAGCTGTTTCAGCAAACACCTGCCTTTTCCCTGCAGCTGCATAGGGACAGAGAACACTGGCTGGAGGAAAGGACTAGAAATTGGCCAGGTCTCACAGGACAAAGTAGCTAAGAGGAAAATGCCTAATGATCTAATAGGTTCATAAAACAGGCAAGATACAGTCACTGCCTTTTTATATTAAATAGGATGTCTCTAGCTGTTCAGGATTACAGCCTGAAGGATCTTGCTGTCAAGTCTAAGAATTTCAAGCCAAGTTTTCAGCTCTCAAAAATTTTGCAATGTTTTTACTACATCTGCAGCAATTTACATGTGCAAAAATAAAAAAACCTCTTTAGAGACCGCATGAAAGTCTGCTCCTGTAGAAAGACAGGAGCTAACTAGCAAAGAAGGGAGACTGTTTAGCAGGGAAACTTTAGGCTGCCTCACTAGCTTTATTTTACTGAAGATAATTTAGTCCCCAAAAGCAGTAATTAGTTCCTTTACAATTGTATGTGTGCTTGTGTGGTTTGCAGAACTCAGTATGTGTAGCAGGGCATGTTTTAATGAAGGAATATAAGCTTTTTTTTTGGCACATACATAAGTGGAGGGAAAGAAGAGTCAGTACCTGCCTGGGGCAGAGTTAAGGAACACGTGCTGATGGAAAAGCTGTTATTTCTCATCATCAACTGCCCATTTTCTCTCTCTTAGTCAGAGGGAGGCAAGTTTTATGGCCTTCCTGTAATCAGTCTGTTCCAGAGCATTCCTTCCTCGAGGTTAGTATAATTACCAGGCATTTGCTGTTCAAGTTTCAGTAATTCATGTTTACCACCTGGGACTCTTAAGAAACTAGAAGTATCTTGGAGAGGACTGTTATGTTGTGTATGTAGAAACGTAGCAAGTACTGTGACCCTATGTAATTCAGAACATGTAAAGCTAGTCTAGGCTTCTGTAGCTGACCCTTAAACTTCGTGGTGGAAAAATTTAATTGGTAGCTCAGAGCTTAGGATGTAATAAAAATGTTATAAAGGGTGGGTGTGGGGAAGCATTCTAGTATCAGAAGAGTCCTCTTGTATTACAGAAGACAGTTATCTGGGTGATAAAAGTCTGCCTTCATCGAGAGGGGTAGTTTTTTGCAGACATTTTACACATTTCTGCTCACTCATCAGTGGAGCTGTTGGTCTGCTGGACTTGGTAATCAGCGCACCTGCCTGTGACTTTCTGGTTTGTTGTGAGAACGATCATATTGCCATCCCGAGCTGTATGTGAAGGGACAGTTCAAGGGGATGCACTCCATTGCTTGCATAATTGCCTCTTCGTGGTCACAAAATGAAGTTCTTACCATTCTGGGACTGTCATAAAGGTCTCTTTGTTGTTGTCGAGTCTGTAGCATGCCCTTGTTGAATGTCATTTACGCTGTCTAAAAATAACCCATGCAGTTTCACTGGGAAGCCAGTTACCCCAGCTTCACGGTTGTATTATCAGTGAACCTAAGAGGTGCTAGGGTTTTGGGTTTTTTTTCTTTTTTAAGAAGTTAGAGGGGGGACAATTTTCCTAGGAAATCACTCTTTTTGAATATTCTAGTGATCAGAAATTCCCATCTGGATAGACTCCCTCCCCTACTCTGCCTTACTATTAGAAAACATTGATACGGAGGACAGCAAGTGATGTGCCTCCTGCACTTATTTCAAATCAAAAAAACATGAACCTTGTCCTTTGACCTCCTTAGAGAAAGGCTCTGAGTATTGCAGTAGAGCTTTGTGCACAGATAAATTTAAGGTCTGTTCTTCAAATTCTTCCTCATAGGAAATGCTGTTTTTTGTAAAATATTGTACAGTATGAAAAACTTTTCCCCCACCCAATGTGACAAACTTTACAGAAAATACCATAAAATGGATGGTGAGGAAGGACTAACCTCATTCCTGTTCCTCTGTATATCCATATAGGGACATACGACATCAGGATGAAAACAAAGGTTAAAATACTATTTTGGAATTAGGTATGTGAACTCAGCTTAACTGAGGAGTTAATACATCTCCTCAGACATTCAGTCTGTTGCCCAAAGTAAGCACTGTTCTGTAAGTCTTGCACATATTTTCTCAAGATACAAATATAGGAGGCTCTAGCTTTCAAAGAATCACTGCCCTTAAACTCAACATTACTGAAATGGCAGTTTGTGCCTGCCTTTAGAAAATTCCTTAGAATGAAGATATTTTAGCTCTAAGTGGAACTTACTATAGCTATCAGCAACATTTATCCAGACACTTAAAAAAACCTCTTTTGTTTTGTCTGTCTGTCTGTCTCTCCTTTGGTTTTAAGAATTGAAGAAACAAGTGCAGACCTGAGGAAACAAGTGGTTAGGTTAGAAGAAGAACTGGACCAAGAACGAAAGAAATACACAATGCTGGAGATAAAGCTGAGGAATTCTGAACGTGCCCGTGAAGATGCCGAGAAGAGAAATCACCTCCTGCAGAAGGAAATGGAAGAGTTTTTTTCAACACTAGGATGTTTAACTGCTGGGAGTCAAAGTGCTAAAGTTCCCAAGTAGAACAAGATGATGTACAGCACAGAAAATTTTATTTCTGGCAAAACCAGTGAGAATGCACATTTTGTTCTGGTGTACTCATGTATCATGAGTAACACTACAGTGATCATGCTCTCAGTGACACTTAACTCTTATTGTCTTTACGTGTGCTGTAGTATTTGGGCCAGCTGGGAAAGACTGCTAAACATAATGCTTGAAAGTTTAAATGTCAGATTGCCAAGAAAGAGTGGGCACCCTTCTTATCCACCAATCAAAAGATACTACTCGGCAGTGCAGCCATCTTCAGTCTTACTGCACTATCCTTTTGCTGGATCCAGGACAGTGGAAGGTCCTGCAAGGTGGGTGGAACTATCAGAACCGATGGACAGGCTAAGCCTGGAGCTGAGGGCCTCCTACACTTGCACGTGGGAAGATGGCAGTTCCAGTATGTCACCCACATTCAATGTGGTTTAGCATGTGAATTTAATGGTGTTTTTTCTCCCCACTCCCTACATAAAATTTGTTCAAATTTCTCATTCACACAAAAAAGTGGCATTTTTTTTTGTGAAGATAACATGAAAACAAAGTCTGAGCTGAAGATACCAAAATCTTGACAATTCATTAGTATTGTCCCTTACCCACCAAACAGTTTCTGTGTTTAACAAAAATGCAACTTGTTAAAGTATATGTGATTAATAATGACTTTGGCCACATAAACTCTATGGAACTTCTAAATATGCACATTTTGCCCTAGGTATCTGGGGTTTTTTGAGCCAAAAATAGAGCAGTATTATCTGAAAAAAAAAAAATCTAATGAGTTGATATGTACTGATCAGACATCAAGGTAGGAGAAGATTCTTAACATCAAAACACATCCAACTACCTAGGGGTTTTTATCTATAAAACTTTAATAGCAAAACCTATGGTAAAAGAAATTAGTGCAATTGAGGGGGCAGGGAGTAAAGGGGGAAGTGTGGGGATCTAACTTTAACCTTCCTGGGACAATTTACACCTAGCTGCCTTGTAATATTTCTCTTGACACCAGTTGATATTTTAGTTGTTAGCTCACAAAGAGATGACAGGACTGGAGGAGTATTGCAAACAACCCAGCAGCCTAAATTCATTGTTTCTACTAAAGAAAAATCATTAAACTTCAGTTGTGATTTCCAGTAACCAGCTGCCAGGGCTGACTTCCCCTTCAAGGGACTTCTCAAAGTTCTGTGTAACATTTGTTGTGCCCTGAGCCAAGCAGAGCCTGCACACAGAAAATCATTTTACCAGATTGAGCTTGAACTCTGCTTGCCAGCCCACCACTCACAGCAGTGTTCACTCCTTCTCGACATGTATCTTTGACAGCTGAGGCAGCTTGGGAGCCTCAGAGGTAGAAAGATTTTTAATGGGAAAGTGCCATAACATGAACTGGCTAAAGGGAAAGTATAGACTGTAATGAAGGTGCTTGCTTTATTTAAGTATTTTCAAAAAAATGACCTGAATCTGTCTTTTCTTACTAGAGAAGAATATAACTCATTGGAAGGAACCTTAGAATGGGCTTTTTTATGTACCATCAGACTGTACACCCTTCGGTATTGATTTTCTCATCACCTTGCAGATATCCAGGTATTTCAACATATAAACATATAGAACTGTACTTAACACTTCTTCCTACTGAAATGTAAACCATTTAAAATGAGCAAAAAGAAACATTTTAACGTAATCCTTCCTGGTTAAGACAAGTCAAGCAAGGTGCTAAAGTAAGCCGTGTAGATGGGTCAATTCAGTTTTTAAAACATTTTCCCTTCTTCCCAGAATATCTAGCTGCGCTGGATTTCTTGCTACCCCTGGTGCACGAGCAGGGTGCAGGCAGCCGGGTGTTCAGCAGGAGCAGCCTGCCACCCGCAGGCAGCAACAGCACCCTGATCCTTTTTCTACCTCCACCCCACCTTCTATTATTACTGATAGCTGCGACCGATCCTGCTAGGAATGTGATGGCCTGTTTAAAACAGCAGCATTAGAGATGCATAATGTGAGAAGCAACTGTTTTAACAATGATTCTGAGCTGGCACAGCATAGTGGATTAGTGTTAAGTACCATGCCAGTCATCACAAACCTTGATATTAGAGAGTGGCCTGAACTGGGTTATAAGTAATTCTTTGCAATTAAAAACATCAGGACTAGTAAAGTTTCTACCGAGACATTAAATCCAAGTAGTAGTAGCAACCAGGTTATTTTAATGCCCTCTTTTATCCCTACCCCCAACATAGGTACCTTTCATTATATGCATCCTGAGAGCCCACATCCCTTTGACTATATTGCATTTCTTCTGCATGTATCAACTGCAGACTACTCCCTTCAGTTCTGGCACACTACAAACTCAAGAACTGAGCCATGCTGACTATAAGCCTAAAAAACATTTGCAAGGGAAGCACTAAACAGCACTGCTGGCTAACTGTCAGTGAAATCAAATGCAACTGGAATTCTAGATTTTCTTTAAGTATTTAAACTTAGGTAACCAGTACATATAGCAGAATGGGGGAACAAACACCTATCCTAAACCTTCAGCTCCACCAGAGGATTGTCTGTCAGCTGTGTTAGACTACATAATCTTACATCTGGCATCCAGGATAAAATTTGTTCTTTAGTATCACAAATGAAACTGTATCCACTCAAACTGATTGATGGCACTAACCATTTCCCAGTTGACTGTTGTGGCTCCAGCAACATTTATTTCTCTTCTTCATAGGTAATAGATTTGAGGTCCTTTTGAAGATGATCCACTGCAGTAAATAAAGCCTACAAGGAGCTGCAAACTAACTAGTTCATGCTAAAACACACCACAGTAAAATGTTAACTCTAAAGCAAAGCAACAGGAGCATTAATGTTCATTTCTCATCACAGGCAATTATGCAATAAATGCAAACACGCATGTGTTGTTGTACACAACCTCATGGAGCGCTATGCCCTTAATTGAGGAAGATGCTTTCCCAGCTTTCACTTCTGTTTCTGTATTCTTTTTCCCACCACTTCATTTGCCAACTTCATGAATCTGAGAGGACATTCCTTATTTTGCAAATCTTTTGCTTATTACAGCCTCTAGTTTAAAGCACAAGCTTTCTTAGCAAGTGTTTACAAGATACAGGTTTGTTAGTATTAATAAGACATGACAGAAGGCTCCTAGGTAGATACATTTTTACCATAGCTTTACCTGTGCAATCTTCCCAGCCTGAAACAGCCCTTCCTATATTATGCAGGCAAAAAGGTGCAGAAAATTTTCAGTGAAAGAAACTCAGCACAAGCCTGTGCTCAAAAAAGATCCAAAGTCAAACAGCAGCGTTGCAGAATAAAACAAAAAACTTCTGTAGGTCTCCATGGCATTTCTAATAGGAGAATTGATAATGGTAGCTTATTGAATTACCTACATTTGCTAGCGAGTTCCTTGCAAGCCAGCAGCACTATGGAGTGTTTTGGTTCTGGGCCTAAGTCACAGACAAAACCTTAGCAGAGCTAAGACTGTCTCAAGCCTTGCTCTGTATTAATATATTACTTGGAATGGGCTGCGCTTTATGCTAACATACACAAATTAAAAAAAAAAAAAAAAAAAAAAAAAAAAGATTTCTGAGCCTCACTGCATTCCTAGAAAAGCACCTCACAAACAGTTGGTCCAGAGAAACAAAGCAGGCTCCTCTGTACTGCCTGTGGTCAGAGTGCCATTCCCTTAAAAACATACACAAAGTAACAGCATGCAGACAAACACAACTCAAGGACATCTTGAGACTTTGTGTAAACAAAGGCTGAGACCCTGCTGGAAATGAAGGCAATGAATGAATTAAGATTTAGCCCCACAGTAGAGGTGCCAGTGCAGGAAGCGGTCCTGGCACCCAAGTTAGTTCTTCAGGAGTCAGATCCTTCAGGCTTTCATACACGAGACAGCCCATCGCTTACCTCTTCTGCAACGCGGGGTCTCAGCAGCTGTATTTCCAGAAAGAGAGTTGACAGCAGGGAAGTAAATATGGATTCTAAACAATCACAAACACACTTGGTACTAACAGTCTGTGGCACACACAAAGCCCATGGGAATGGAGTAATGGAAGAAACATGTCACTTTGCCCATGAGTGAGCTCATACACAAGACACGAGTTTAAATACCATTAAAAACTGATGAATTCTCAGGTAGGACTGACGCTAATAAGACTCCAACTGCAGCCTCATTATGAAGTCAATGAAATCCATTCCAGCCTAGCAATGAAGAAGTGCTAAATGCATAATGGTCAAACTTTTTTTTTTTTCTTTTTTATTTAAAATATCATTATAACCAATTGACATACTAGATAACAATGTATACATTCCAGTGGTGCACATGTAATGACCTATGGTATGAATGAGTAAAAAAACCACAATGTTCTCAGTAATGCCCCACCAACAGCTTACTTGGAGGGAATAAAGGAAAAGCAGGAAAAGGTATCAAATGCGGGGAAGAAATTACAGTTTCCTCCAGTATTTTTAATGGTGCATCTTCCCCTTCATATTTCTTGGGACAAAATTAAGAATATACTTCAAAAGGGGCAGAAGGAATGATCACAATAATTAGGGTTTTTTTCTCAACTTTAGTAATAAAAGTTAAAGAACTCTCAAAAATAGACTAGATATTGGGCCTACAAAAGTAATTCATCTGTATGCAAAGCTTACCAAGAATTATTCCTTTTGTAAAATGTAAAGGATGAGCTGACATTACTAGTAAGCTATTTTTACCTACAAAACCAGACTACAATAATAAAATCACCCATTTACAGCTAACACAATACTCTAGATGTACATTATTGTACACAAGCTATATATTACACATTAACATCTTACGTGAAATATTTAAGAAACATACTTAACTGATATTGTCTCAACATTAGCCAATTAAGTTTATTTTTCTAAAGGAAGTGTATTTTTCTATTCACATTCAGTGTAGTTCCACTAGCAAGGGTTAGCTTTGCTTACTTAAGAAACGTAGAAAATTTGTGTGAGGTAGTTCAAGAAAACCTAGCTTAAATTTTAAACTGCAGAAGTAGAAACACAGCGTGATCTGATTCATAACATGTTTCTGTAATGCAGATACCTAAAGAAGAGGAGAAGGGAGTGAAAGAGAACTTAAAATACCACTTTTATCCAGTGCCCTTAACTAAGAATAAATTAATTGAAAGTTTGGGTAGGCAGTAGAGTATCATGACATTTCTTCATTAAAATCCTCTTTCTAATCTACTGAAAAATGCAGCCAGCTCTCCTTCAAGTCCCCTCAAACTAAATGTGTAAGAACCAAAACATTGATAGGAAAATAAAATGTAACAGCATGGACAAGCTGCTGTCAAAAGCATATAAAAACGTATCTTGAAACCATAATTCACTTCCTTTAGCAACTTGAAACAGTAAGACCAAGCGTAAGCTGAACCATCTTCTGCACTTTGCCCTATAATATTAATCGAGAAACATTTAGTGTCATAAGCTTCGTATTACTGGCTGGGTAGGAACTATCCTCCTGTACTAGCTCTTTGATCGTTTGTCTTCATATGCAATGTTGTGATAAATGCCAAATACATTAATGCAGGGAATTATACTCATGCAAACGCCTGTCAAGGTGCTTAACTTTTGCTCTCTTAACAAAACAGCCTGTGTTCAGAGAAGCGGTTTTCCATAAAACAAACCCATGTCAGTAACACTCTACTTCCTTGGGCACTGAGGCAGTAGAGGGTGCTATTGCCACAACTACCTCAAAGTTCACTATATCCTTCCCCTAAATTCACACCTGCGTGCTGGCACAGGGCAGGGGGTCTTACCAAACAATTTATCCTGATATTATCTTTGAATCTAGCTGGGATTCCTATCCAGAAAGATACTACTGCATATAGCATAGTAAGGTTCTTCAAAACTAAAAACCCACCTACATAGGGAAAAGTGCCATGTCTGTTCAGCTTAGCAGAATAAATACAACAGAGGTGGTCTAAGGTTGTTCAGCTGAATGGGTATTGTTTTGGCAGTCCAGCTTCTCACACACTGACATACAAAACTCTCAAATCCTGCCCCACTGTCTTGCATCAACAAAAACAGATCAGAGATGCAGCACAGAGCAATGGTACAAATTTATATTTCAAATTCTTGAAGAACCTACTTCTACAGAAGGAGAGGAGCTATTTTATCCTTGATGCCTGCCACAGCTCTGACCAGAGAAGGTGGAAATTAATCTCATTATTACTGCCAACTTTTAACCTCACCTGACATAAGAAATCAGCTCACTGCAATTCATGCCTACCACTCCCAATGGATTGGAATGGCCCTAGAAGAGGAAAGGTGCATGCACTTTAGTGAAGCCTGTTGTCATGAGAAGATTTTGGAATCACAGATGAAATAAAACTCAATACTTTAAGAATAAAAATGTACAGTGTATTAGATAGTATATGATCCAACAATATAACAATAGACAAAGACAGATGAATTCTAGCTACCCATTTGTTTGCTATCTGTGGCAGTTCACAACTATTTCTGAAATAATTTTATATTCCAACAAATAAAAAGGGATCTTAAGACTAGTATGTTTTTGTGATAATTTGGTTACTGAATCTGATGTTCTTGTCTTTGAAATCTGCTATCACTTTAATTTGCTTAAAATAACAGCAACTAAAAAAAAAGAAAAAAGCAACACTGCTATGAAGATGGTGCCAAAAGTGAACTCTAGGTTCCCACAGGCAAAGCTCTGACCTTACTGAAATAATCCCTTTAAAACACAGCTCACTCACACTGCAGCGGGTTGCAGCGGACAGTCTCACCCATTCTTGAACCCTACCTTAAAAGAAGAAAAGCTCAATTCTCCTTAGAGCTTATGAACTCGGTGAAGTTCTACTGTAGCACACTGTGGTAAAAGCCTAGTAACTATTCATTTGAAAAGCAATTTTTTTTTAGGACACTGGAAAGTGATAGCAAAAATTATTTCAAAGTTTCAGAATACTTCAATCATCACTGCAATCCACAGGGGTCCAAAATACATTTAAATAGGAATTATATTTACCAATTTCTGGGCTGATCAGAGTATCTTTTGACCCTATATAGCAATGGAGTACTGTTGTATGACCAAAAATTTTGGCTTAATTCACAGCTTAAACCTTGATAAAAAATTACAAAATAGACTGTTCTGTTGGTCTTTTCTATGTTCCAGTGCTAGATGAATCCAAACATGTCCTGCCTATTCTGAGGTAATACACAATTTGGCAGGATCCTGTAAAAATAATTGCCTTAACAAATGTAGTTTAGAAAGGCAATACTGAAATATTAGATACAAGTGAGGAAAGCAAAACTACACACACAGAGCACTTACCAGCAGTCTAGCCAGGCCAGGAAAACAACTGTGCAGTTTATCAATTTAGTCATCTTTGAGACATTACCATTCCATGTAACCCTGTATGTTTTTTGAAAAGATGTTAGATATTGAAAGCATTACTATCACTTCTGTTTTTCTGAAACTTACTGCAAAGACAAATTTTCCTCTTTCAATTAGAACTTCAAAAAGATACCTATTTAACCCAACAAGCAGAAGGAACCACACTGAAGAGCATCAGTCATTCCTGGATAACCTCTGTAGCCAGTTATATTATTTGCTTATGCTCTGCGCCTGGCAAGACTTCTGTATTTTTTTTAATGCTCATTTTTGTGAGCATTACTAATTTAAATTCCTCTTCACATTCTAATTCACTACACAAAAAATGCATCTATACAAGGCAATCAATTATACAGCCTAGCTTCACTAAAAATCTGCATTTACCAAAGGAATAAATTCTGAATGATTAACTCAGACATAAACTTAAGTCAGTTATACATAAATCATTCTGTAAATATAAAATGTAAACAGTTAAAATACTTCTGTGAGGAGCAGCACCATTTTACATGACTATTTAGTAACTGTTCTATATATTTCAATATATCTTTTGTTTAAAAAGTGTATTGAAACCTGGAGCTTCAGTGCTGAAAACTACTGAATATTTATGACTTAAAATGAACCATTATTAAGATTTCTGCTACACTGGTCTCATGGTGAAATGAAAGAGATAGGTATTAATTTATACAGCACTACTCCCTCCTTTGGATGGCATATATTGCTCACTTAATGCATTAGCTACAGAAATCCTGAGGTTCTCCTACCACTTAATGGTTTTTAGCAATCAGTTACTTTTGGTGGAGAAAGAATAGGTGAAGTTTTGCCCCTATTGCATTCATGTCATTCCCCCCTTCTACCCCAAAAGCACTCGCCTTAGTAGACAAAACTAGTAAGAAACAAAACTCCCAAGAATCACATATTACATTAAAGTATAGCTACAGCATATTCATTTTCCCTCTTGGCAGTCTAGACATCCTGGATACACTTCGTTTCGTGTGTACAAAAACAGGCTACAAGCTAGAAGTAAACAGTTTATTGACATTGCAATGTATTATTCATGAAGTATCCTCGTGTTTTATGGTGATCACAAGTTTTGGCATGCCACAATTCTGCAGAAAACATCACATTACTTTGTTAGCCTAGATATTTCTGCAGCTTTGAAGATATGCTTTGCTTTCTTAAGTTCATAAAACCATTCAGATGAGGTTACTTTGCAAAGGCTGTATACTGTTTCTCTAAAAAAATTCACTAATTGTTGCTTTTGCTGAAGTATTGTAGGCATGTGGCCAAAATAAGAGGATTTTGTTCACTGCCAGCACCATAGTAGTATGCCAAAAACTACAGCTGGCTGAACTGAGTTCTGTCCCCCTCCACCTGGACATGGACATATGACCAAGCATAAAACTTTGAAGGATATCATGAACAAAACATCTGGAATAAATTCTAATTAAAAAATTGAAAACCTATAAAATCTTAAATAATCATTATATGGTAATGACCACAACATTAATATGTGCTTTGATAAAACAAATCTTACAAATTCAGTAAAAAAAGATCAGCAGCATAATAGTAAAGCAAATATGCAGATTTTAAAACCACAATAAAAATTATCAGGTTTAATATTTTACAATTAATTACATCAAAAAAAGTGGCTGCTTTTAACACAACTTACAGTTTAAAATTACAGCACTTTATGATGAATTCTACAATTATTTTTGAAAAAACACTCAAAAATACCACCAAATTTTAAAGGTGCCCTATTAATGACTAAAAGGACCCCCCTCCCACCCCCCAAAAGACCAAGTAGTCATCTACAGCAACCCAGAGGTCCAGCTGAGGTTTCTAGACTGCTGTCTGTATCAGAAGCCAATGTTGGATCTGTTGACATTGAAGACACATCATTGACAGATGACGATGAAGATGGATGTTGAGAGCCATTGATCATTGCTGCACCTGTGCTATGAGAAACAAAACAGCAAATCAGTTGCAGATACAGTTGCATGGTTCAGTACTTGCATTAGTCTGTCTCTTCTAACAGTCATTATTTTCCCCTGTTTCGGCAAGTTTGAAG